CCACTAAACTTTTTCTAGGCTATTCCACTGCCTTTACCAACTCCTATGACGAAGAAATACTTCCTAATATCTCTCTGGACTCATTTGTGTCCTTCAACTTCCAATTGTGCCTCTTGTTCTGTGTCCCCGTCCCTGGAGACATCCTGTCTTTGTCCACCTTGTCTATTCCACACGCAGTAATTTATATGTCGTTATCCATGTCCTCCCCTGACCATCCTGCCTCCAGTGGTCGTCAGGCCGATTTCCCTTAATCTTTCTTCATAGGACATTCCCCTTAGCTCTGGAACTAACCTTGTCAAAACCTTTGTACTTATCTCTAGTTCCATGACGTGCTTTTATCAAGTGCGGGTTTCCAACAGGTGCTGCATACTCCCAGTATGGGCCTGACATACCGTTGTACAGTGTTTTGAAACAATTCCTTACTAAGGTATCGCGAATGGCTGTTCTCATAGGATTGCCAGCGCCCATCTTCTGCAGCCGTTATCTGATTGATGTGTGCTTCCCCGGAGACATGTTCGTGTTTATACTCACCCCAAGATCTTTTCACCTTGAGTGAGGTTTGCAGTCCTTGGCCACCTAGACCTATATCTCTGTCTGTGTCTTACTTGTGCCCTCCCTATCTTCATGACTTTGCATTTGCGGATTAAAATTCGAGAAGCATTTTAGCTGGACCAGGTGTCCATTCTGTCCAGTTCTCTTTTGAAGTCCTGCTTGTCCCTTCATCAGATTTAATTCTCCTCATTAACTTCACATCATCTGCAACAGGACACTTCTGAGTCTAACCCTTTCCATCATGTCCCGTTTCCCACATATACCAAAAATAGCACGGTCCTAGGACCGACCCCTGTGGGACCGCTCGTCACGGTGCCCACTATGATACATCATTATGTACCTATGACTCGTTGTTGCCTCCCGTCCAGGTATCTCGAACCATTGCAGTGACCCTTCCGGTTATATGCGCCTGATGGCTCTAGCTTCTCACTAAATCTCTTGAGGTAACTGTTGTCAAAGGCCTTCTTGCAGTCCAAGAAGATGCAATCAAACCCACCCCTCTCTCTTCGTGTCTTACTACTGTTATTTTATCATAAAACTCCCAGAAGGTTTTGTGACACAGATTTGCCTTCTCCTGAATCCGTGCTGGTTGGCATTTAAATACTCTTTCCGTTCCAGTGCTCCACCACTCTCCTCCTATAATCTTCTCTCATATTTTGCATACTATGACCTGTCAATGCCACAGGTCTAAAGTTTATGCCTCTTTTCATTGTCTCCTTTTTTAAAAATGGGAACTACATTTGCCATCTTTCCATACCTCATGTAGTTTGGCCTCAGATTCCAGGACGTGTTGAAGATAGTGGTAATGGCACGCACAACATATCTGCTCCTCTCTAAGGAACCCATGGGGAGATGTTGTCCGGGTCCCAGTTGCCTTGAGTATTGATGCCCTTATGCAAGTTTCTCACCTCCTCCTATCTGTATGTATGTCTTCCAACACTTGTGGGTATTCCTTGCTGTGTCCCCATCTGGTCGTCCCCAAGAGTCCTTCTGTCTTACTGTAAATACTTCCTTAAATCTCTGTTGAGCTCCTCACATACCTCTTGACGTTTCTTGTGAGTTCCTTCCACCTTCTTCCTCACCTTATTCACCTGGTCCTTTGACTGATGTCTTCCTCCTAAAGTGGCTAAAACAGCAGTTTCGGGTCAGATTTGACTTTCGATGCTATGTCGTTTTCATACTGTCGCTGGGCCTCCCCTCCTTATCTGTGCATACTCGTTTCTGGCCTTCTACTAAACTCCATTGTTTCCTGGGTCCTATGCCTCCTGTACCTTTATTCCATTCTCGTTTAAACTTAGTTTTGCCTCCCTACAACCTTCGGTAAACCCCCCAAGGACTTCGTTTTCGGTCTTCCTATCATTTTTTCTGTATCCCTTGGACCAAAACTTTCCTCTGCCTCCTTGCACTTTGTTGCCACAAATTCCATCATCTCGTTTACTGATTTTCCACCATTTCCTCGGTCCCACTGGGGAACCCCTGCAGAAGTTTCTCATACCTGTGTAGATCCCTCCCTTTTATAGTTTGGCCTGTCCCCATTCAGTGTCCTCTCTGTTTACCTTCTCCACTTGTAAAACCACTACTATATAATAAAAACTCAGAACCACGTGATCGCTAGCTCCAAGGGGCCTCTCGTAAGTGATGTCCTCATGTCTGAACAGCTCAGGTGAACAAAAGATCCAGTCTTGCTGGCTCATCCTCCACCTCTCTCTCTTCTGTTGTGTCCCTGACATGTTTGATGCATTGAGGTTTTCAAGTACCAACATCCATCATCTTGCTACTCCATGTTTCGGGACCCCCCATGTGGCTCCAGTTTTGTCCCAGTCGATCTCCTGAGGTTGAAATCGCGCCATAACCAGTAACTTTGTTCTGCTCGAGTGAGCTCTTCTTGCATCCCACCTCAGCCAGTGTGTCCACCATCGACCCTGTTGTTTCTTCGTACTCTCTCTTGGGCTCCTGCAGTTCTGTGGTGGGTTATACATCACTCCAATGACTACTTTTGTCTCCGGCCTGAATTGCACCTACAATGTATCTCTTTCTCCAATCATGTCATGCCTTCCATTTCCTCAAATCCCCATCGTGTTTAATGAGCAGTGCAACCCCTCCTCCCCTCTACTCCTTCTATCTTTCCTCAGGTCTGATAATCCTGTTTGGGAAGATTGTATCTGTTATTGTCTCAGCGAGTTTTTTGTTTCTTTGACTGCTAATGAATGTCTGGGGATTTTTCACTGATTCTTTCGTTCCACTCCTCATGTTTATTCGTTTTTTCCATCCGCGTTGTGTACCAAACTTTCAGTTTTCTTTTTCTATCACTGTGGTCATGCAAGAATATTGGGGTTGGGGGATGAGAGCCTTGGTGGGGGCCTATATGGGGCTGTGTGTAGGAGGGGTTTGTGATGATGGGGGTGTGGTCAGAATGCCCATAAGGACAGCTGTTTGGGGTGAGGTTGTGATATGGGGGTTGGGTGCAGAGGGAACAGTGAGTGGGGGGGTTGTAGTATAGGTTGCCTCAGTGTGCGTTGGGTAATGTCCCGGTTGGAGTCTTTTGGTGGAGATTCTGTGGGGTGGTGTTTGCCCTACCTCCTGTTCGGGTCCCTTCTCATTTCGTCATTGCCTCACTGTCCCTCCTTGCATCTCTGTCCCCTCTCTTTCAGTGTAGTCCTTTCTTCTTTGTTCTTCGTGGTCGAGGTATACTCTCTGTACCATCCTCCTTGTCCTCAGTCTTGCTTTCCACGTGCAAAATCCAGGTTCGAACTGATTCTTCCTGAAAGTTACTCTGACAGGCGTATCCTTCCACTCGCAAACCAACCCAATTCTCTGAAAATTTGTCACCTGGCCATATGCTCCCTCACCTATTGTTTTCATGATGCCTTCAATCAATTTTTTTCTCCTGTTTTTTATTTCTTCAAGTAGTTCCCCTTTGGCTTCTGAGCCCGTAACAACAAAAACTGGACCTTCAGCCCTTTCCTCCTCCCACTGAGGTCTCCATCTGCTTCTCTGTAGGCATTTTCCTTCCACTGAATGTTTCTTGCCTTCAGTCCCTGTCATATCTGAAACTTCTATTCTCATGTGAACTGTCTTTCCTGACCAGCGTCCCTTGCTACTGCAGTTGGCTGTTAAGAATCTCTGCATATAGCAAACCTTCATTGTCTTCGGACCTGTCATTTGATCTGTAGTGTCTACCTCGTCTTTTCCCTGGCCCCAACGTGGGTCTGATAGGGCCTTCGTGTAACGGCATTCTCCGTTGTTGCTTACCGACGCCCTGTCTGTGCCCTGACATTGAATTTCCTGATGTCACATCTGATTTTCATTTGTCTTCACTAATCTGTTTCAAGGCTTTGCATATCTCCTTCTAAGCACTGTATCCTAAGCTGCTGCTGCTAAGACCTGTAACCTTTCCCACTTCCTGCAACTCTTCAGCTATCCACCCTCCATTTTCTTACCCAAGCTCTACTATCTTCTTCCTTCATCCTTCCACACTCTTCCTCCCTTTTTAGGAGCTCTAACCCCAGTCTTTCCTCACCTGGTTCGTCTACCAGATTCTTCTGGTTTTCTGTCGTCTAGGGCCACGACCATTATTTTTTTTTTTTTTTTACCACCGAACCGAAGGCTAAGAGGGAGGCTGTTACTGCTGGTCGCACAACAGTCCAACGTACGAGCCACAGCCCGCTGATCCGGCACTGACTTTAGGTATCTGTCCACTCTCTCTTGAAGGCAGCCAGGGGGTTTATTGGTAATCCCCTAATGCTTGATGGAGGCTGTTTGAACAGTCTTGCCCCCAACAACATATGATTTTTCTCTTAGTGTACCAATGGCGCCCCTACTTTTAATTGGGGTATTGGCATCGCCTGCCAGTCTTTTTACTTTCGTAGGAGTGATTTTGTGTGGTAGATTCGGGAGGGCGCAATACCCCCTGGACACTGGCCTAATTTGCGGGAAATGCCTCAGCATAACAAGGGGCTTTCTATATATTAGTATGTCATTGATGTCAGCTAGGACTGTATATCCTATACCATGTACATGTACTTGTAGTAAATAAAGATATTATTATTATAATTAATCAAGAAGCTTTATGTACTGTATTTTCAGGCATATAAGGTGTGCCTTTTCTCCCTACAAAAAGTCTTGGAAAATCAGCCTGCACCTTATATGCTCAAGGTCAGGGTCAAGGGTAGGCTTTGGGTTATGCTGTAGTGTAAAGTAAGAATGTAATCAGTCCCTGTATATGATAATGAAACTCCTGTAGTGTGCCTATATGCTGGAAAATATGAAATGTCATACAAAACGACGGTGTTCTTTTGCTGTTTTTTTTTTTTGTTACCACTTGTCAGCTATGTCATTCATGCATGCCAGTGGCTTTTTTGTATTTACTGTACATATAAAATGTAAACTCACAGTTTTTGGAATACTACACAAAGAAATAAAACAATTTATTTTTTTGATCATCTTACCGGACAGTCACATCCACTCTGATACAGGAGTCGGAACCCTTTCTTCATCTTGGGTGTGAGGCTCCTGATGGGGGCAGCAAAGTTGCACAGATCGATCCATGGTTTGCCATCATGCACTGATCCTGTGAGTACATGAGAGGTTCGTGTCTTGAGCTCAGCCTCACACATACTGGGGCTGCTGGGAGTGTAGATCAGACCTTTCTGCAAGATCATTTCCACCTTCTCTGAGGCCTGCAATACACATCAATACGTCAGTGTCATATACTCTATGTCAAATCCAAAGAACATACAGAATTTTCTTTTTCCTTGGATCAAACCTGATTACTACTCACAATACACATTTTAAAGGCATTGAATGGCCCTTATGGGTCTAACACCTCCCATGAACATAACAACAATACTAATAATAATAATCTCACATTTGGTGGTTGATGATAGTCTTGTCTAGAACACTCTGGGCTGAACACTTACAGTTTGATACCCTATGTTGGGTTTAGAACATTGCTTTTGATATAATGATCATTTACATGGCTGAACCTGCTACTTGCATAAACCACTACTCATGTCCCTGTCCATTCTTCTATTTATTCATATACATTGATTCATTCTCTCGTGTATGTAGCATGTACCTTATTGTATTCACCTAATTAAGGTTGCAGGGCGAGTCACAACCCTGGCCCCACCTCTCACTTCATGCTATTACGTTCGCACTCTCTCCCAGATCAACGAGCCAATTATTATACCCTTCTAAAAACTATGTATGATCCTGAGTCACTACATCATATCAATGTACACAATCTAGTTGATGTGCAGGGGTCGAAGTCCAAGCTCCTGGCCCCGCCTCTTCACTGTCGCTACTAGGTCACTCTCTTCACTTGAACTCACCCACTGACTCTTCTTCTCTTCATCTCTCATCTATCCGGCTTTCTTGACTCTCTTCTTTCTAGTGCTACTCTCTTCCATTCTAGTCTTCTCTAAGTTCTACTCTTTCTTCTTCTAGCTATACTACTTCTGGACTCTCTCTCTACACACTCCTTTCTCACTGTACTCTTCTGACTCATCCTCTCCCCCCCCACCCCCACTTCTTCTCTTTACTCTCTCTAAGACTGCTCTCTACTGCTCGTTCATCTTTTTTTCTCTAACTCTACTCTCTTCTCGCATTTCTCTCCTCCTTCCTCTCACTCATCCTCTCTCTCTCTCTCTTCTTTCTCATACTCTCATCATCTACTCTTTCTGCGATCACTCTCTACACTACTCCTCTCACTCTTCCTCCTTTCTCGCTTTCTTGTGTCTGATCTGTCGTCTCTCTTCTGCTTCTTCCTCTAATCTCTCTCTCTTCTGTCTCTCTGCTCTTACTCGACTCTCTGTCTCCTTCTGGGTCCTCTGCTAACTCTTGTCTCTCTTCTCCTCTTTTCTCGCTCACGACTTTCTCTACTACCTCAATTACACTTTCTAAACTTAACACTCTCTGCTCGCCTCATCTTCCTCTTCATCTCTTCTCTCGGCTCTCTCGCTCTCAAACTTCCCTCTACTACTCATGCTCTCTTGTCTACTCTACGGGCTCTCTTTAACTCTTACTGCTCTTTGCCTCTTCCTTTCATCTCCTCGCTTCCTCTCTTCTCTCCACGAGCTATCTACTCTTCTCTGTCGTCTCTCTTCTCATGTTACCCTTCATTCTGGGCTCTCTCTTAACTCTGGTCTCCTTCTTACTCTTTGCCTCTTCTTCGTCTCATCTACCTTCTTCTACTCTTACCTCTCCTCTTCTCTCATTTACTCAAATCCTCTCTCTCGTATCTCTCCTTGACTCACTAACTCTTTTCTCACTCTCCTTTCTCTCTCACTCTTCTCCTCCTCTCACTCTTCTCTTTGCTCTTCTCGTTCTCTCTCTCACTTCTCTACATCTTCTCTCTTTCTCTCCTTCTCTCTCTCTTCTCTATAGCACTTCTCTATTTATAATACTATATCAATATCTCAATCTCATCTATTCTATATATTATGCAGTGTACTTCTTCTCTACATTATTATATAATCATATATTATTCATCATAGCACCAATTTCTATCTCTCTCTCTTTCTGCGTCTCACTCTTCATGACTCGTCCTACTCTCTTTCCACTCGTGCTCTTCTCTCTTCTCTTCTCTCTCTGAACTCTTTTCTTCATTTCTCTTGCTGCTCTCTCTCGTCTCCCATACACTCTACTCTCTCTACTCTCGGTATCTTCTCTCCTCTCTCTGCTCCTTCTTCTTATCTTATCTCTCTTCTTCTTGCGCACGTCGTGTACTCCTCTTACTCACTCTCTGATCTTCTCTGCTTCCTTCTCTCTCTTCCCATCACACTCAGTCCTCACTCTTCCTGCCCTCCCCCTGTCTACTCTCTCATATCTCTGCTCTGTCTCTCCTATTGTCCTCAGACTTTCTTCCTCTACTCCTCTCCTACATCTTCTCTTCTTGTCTGACTCTTTTACTCTATCCTCATATCTCTCCTCTATTCCATCTCCTCTTCTCCACACTCTCTCACTGTCCTGACATCCACTCTCTCTCACTCTCTTCTCGAACACTCTCACACTCTTCCATCCTGCTCAAGGCCACTCTTCACGTCTCCCTACTCTGCCTCATCCTCCTCCTCTCATCCTCTACTCTTTCTCTTCCCTACCTTTCACTCTACTCTCCTTCGCTCTCTCTTCTGCTCTCACTATAGTGACTCTTATCTCATCATCTCGTCTGCTCCTTCCACTCTTGCTCTACTCTCGTTCACTCTTACTCCTAACTCTCAGATTCTCCTACTCCATCCATACTCTCTTTACTCTCGCTCTCTACTCTCATTCCAGGCTTCTTCTCTCTTTTCTTTGCCTCACTCATACTCTTCTCTCCCTCTCACTCGTACTCTCTCCCTTACAGCTCTTATCTATTAGACTCTATTCAGAGTCCGTCGCCGCCACCTGAAAAAAGAACCGTGAGAATTTATTATACCTCTGCTTAATTAAAAAGCTATGTAATGGATCACCTGCCTCCACTACGATCGCTTCCCAAACTATTCCACTACCCTGACTACCTGGTGGCTGAAGAAATACTTCCTAACATCCCTGTATTCAACTGTGTCTTCAACTCCAACAGTGTCCCCTTGTTGTTGTTCCCATCTCTGTGAAACAAAATCCTGCTTTGTCCCTTTCCATATCCTCTCAGTATTTTGTATGTCCGATATCACTTCCCCCTAATCTCTCATGTCCCTCCATGTCGACAGTTGATTTCCCTTAACCTCTCCTCGTAGGACATACCTCTTAGCTCTGGGACTAGTCTTGTTGCAAACCTTTGCACTTTATCTAGTGTCCTTTACAATGCTGGCTACCTGGAGTTTACCTGGAGAGAGTTTCGGGTCAACGCCCCTCGGCCGTATGTGACCAGGCTCCTGGTGGATCAGCGCGCTGACAACCAGGTGCTGGTTGCTGCTGGCACAACGCAAACCAACGTACGACCACAGCCCGGCGATCAGGAGAACTGCCTTTAGGTGCTGTCCCATGCCAGCTGACGACTGCCAGGGGCTGTTGGTAATCCCCCTTATGTGTGCTGGTAGGCAGATGAACAGTCTCGTCCCCTGACACTTATTGTATGGTCTCGTAACGTGCTAGTTACACCCCTCTTTTCAAATTGGGGGGTGGTGCAATCGTCTGCCAAGTCTTATTGCTTTCGTAGAGAGTGATTTTATTCGTTGCAAGTTCGGTAACTAGTCCCTCTAGATTTCCCGTGTATATAAACATGTATCTCTCCCTCCTGCGTTCCAGGGAATACAGTTTTAGAAACCTCAAGCGCTCGCCATAATTGAGGTGTTTTATCTCCGTTATGGGCGCCGAGAAAGTTCTCTGTACATTTTCAGGTCGGCAATTTCACCTGCCTTGAAAGGGCTGTAAGTGCAGCAATATTCCAGCCTAGATAGAACAAGTGACCTGAAGAGTGTCATCATGGGCTTGCCATCCCTAGTTTTGAAGGTTCTCATTATCCATCCTGTCATTTTCTAGCAGATGCGATAGATCAATGTTATGGTCCTTGAAGGGTGAGATCCTCCGACATAATCACTCCCAGGTCTTTGACGTTGTGTTTCGCTCTATTTGAGCCAAATTTTGTTTTGTACTCTATGAAGATTTAATTTTCCTCAGTTTACCATACTGAGTAATTGAAATTTCCTCCAATCGTTGACTTCATTATTGTTTTCTGCAGCCCACTGCAAGATTTTGGTTGATGTCCGCCTGGAGCCTTGCAGTGTCTGCAATGAAGACACTGTCATGCAGATTCGGGTGTCATCTGCAAAGGAAGACACGGTGCTGTTGCTGACAGATCCTGTCTATGTCGATATGAGGATGAGGACAAGATGGGAGCTGTACTGTGCCTTGTGGAACAAAGCTTTTCACCGTAGCTGCCTCGGACTTACTCTGTTGCCGACTACTCTCTGAGTACAGTTAGTGAGGAAATATTCGATGCCATCGACCAGAACTTATCCTGTTATTCCTTTAGCGCGCATTTTTGGTTGCGCTATTACGCCATGGTCACAACTTTTGTCGAAGGCTTTTTTGCAAAGTCTGTATATATAACATCTGCATTCTTTTGTCTTCTAGTGCATTTAGACCTTGTCTAGAGATCCAGTAGTTGAGACAGAACAGGAGCGACCTGTTCTAAACCCATGTTGCCCTGGTGTTGTGTAACTGATATGGGATTCCTAGAAGGGTGGTGATCTGCTTCTTAGGACCCTTTTCAAAGATTTTTTATGATATGGATGTTAGTGCTATTTGGTCTGTATTTCTTTGCTGTTGCTTTACTGCCCCCTTTTGTGGGATGGGGCTATGTTCTGTTGTTTTTAGTAACTGATGGACGACCCCCGTGTCCATGCCCTCCTCTCCATAGATGGAAAAGGCTCGTGATAGGGCTTCTTGCAGTTCATGATGACACGGAGAGTTCCATGAGTCTGGGCCCTGGGCAGAGTGCATAGGCATGTCATATATCGCCTGTTCGAGTCATTTGGCGTCAGGATAACATCGATAGGCTTGTGTAATCAAATTTTGCGGCTCTCTCATAAAAAATAGTCATTTTGATCTTCGACTCTCCAGTTCTGGTTGGCGGCTTGCTAAAAACTGAGTCATATTGGGACTTGAGTAGCTCACTTGTATTCCTTGCTGGCATCTGTGTAGGACCCATCTTGCTTAAGTAGGGGCCCAATACTGGACGTTGTTCTCGATTTGATTT